ATGTGATAGATTTATGATGTATTTTTATAACTTTGYTGGTGGTTTGATGCTGAACAAAAGAACATTTAGATAATTGATTTCTATCATCGCAAATATTGAACACTCCATGTAAAAAAGGATGCGTTTATGTTTATGATGAATTCTTACTGTTATGATGTTTCTTGAGAGTGTTCAGTCACTTTTGAATATGTCATAGACTTCTTCGCGTTTTGCTTAAGAGGTTTGATAGAAATTACTTGTATTACAATGTGATTATATCTATGACTCAGTTCAAAATAGGGATCTTTTTTTTCAATTAACCGATTTTACTTCAAGATRATAAGTTTCACTATTTCAGTGACAAGCGAGGCCAACTTATGCTTGAACTCGGAGTAATTAGTTGAATATAGATCAATCAGAGTTACCAAATTACACAAATATAGAGGATAGAATGAAGCCACTGTTTATTCAATGATGCATTCATAAAATGTATGAAGTTAAATCGCTGGAGTTCAATTTGAAATCCAGTTTTATAAACTGAGGTATTAAGAGAATCCCACTGCACGCTCTCTACGTTCGAAAGAAATAGAAAGTGAGCTAAAGCTGTTTTAACAAACAAATAGACATTTTCTATGTTCATGATTTAGTAGGATCTTCGTGTATGCTCACCTGGAATGAACGCGTGTGCCTCACAAAACATCGTTACAGAATGTTRTCATGTTTAGATTTGATATTGCTGTTGTTGTTTTTACACACGTGCGGTTTGAATAAGCCTAACATAGGCAGCTACAACTAAAAAWTACTCGCATCATGTCGATGCGGTAAAGTACTTCTTTGTTTCAGAGGATTAACATTTTTTGTCGAAAATGTGAATAATTTGATTCGCTCTATTAAGTGTATGTCAAAATACTGACATGTCAATGATCTTTGATGTATTTTTGTCCTAAACTACAGCTTCAAAAAAAAAAGTTATTATTTGAAGTGCAATAGAATGAATGCACGCTTCTGTTTCTGGTAACAATAAAACTGTTTTAAATTATAGTAAGTCTGGTAGCTTTTTAACATTGTAAATTGTATTTTGAGTATATTATGATGAGCACCTGAAACTATTATCTTGAAACCATTATCTGTGATTTCACCTTCCAATAAAGCTCAATTATYATTATTGTCAAATGAATAAATGATGTTTCTTTTTCTTAAGAAAAATGTTTCACTAACATTAGATATTATAAGAAAAATTGATCAAAATGCTTCAGCGCGGGATTAAAATATATAAAAAAAAAGGCAACACCCGAAGAAAGCATACGTTAACTTACCGTCACTGAACGATGCATTTTCGCTGACAAAAAAAATCCAGACAAGTTTCTGTAAGTTTGCCAGATTAATAAATATTATCCGACAAAAAATAAATAAACGAAAACAAAAGTTGATTAATATAAACGTCAACTCTAAACGAAAATAAAAATGACGTCATTTGGTTAGATCTGAGGAATTTCTTTTCTAAAAATAGATATGACGTGCGAGCCAGCTCTGAGTTTCTTAAGATAAGCATGACGTCATTTAAGTTTCTAAAACTAGTTATGACGTCATTGACACCGACTCCAAAAATAGATATGATGTCATGATGAAATTAGTGACGTCACGCGGTCACTAACGTGACGTCATCAGGGTGGATCCACTATCCACCCGATCCACCCGACGTAGAACCGCTATTTCCTATACTACTG